ATGCATGAAATCGATGGCTGCGTCCTTCTGGTCATCGGAATAAGGTGACTGCAGTAAAGTGGCTACTGCAGATTCTCTGATGACGTCTCGTCTCGCTCCAATCAAGTCAACTAATTTGAAGACAAATGAGGAAACATCTCATCCGTCAACACCATGGATTGTGGAGCTGATGGCCAGAGTGATACCCCAGCTGCATACTATCTCTTGGACAAGGACTAGAGTATGGCTTGGACTGGAATGCGCGACGCGCTCAACAGCCGCGTCGTCAAAACAACACCGAGTGCCGTTGAAAAGATTGCTCGGAGTGCTACCAGGTGTAAGAGGGTGCTGTTAACCAACAGTCCCTCAAACACAGCACACAAGCTTGTGCGACGAGAAAGTGATTCCCGTCGTGGAGAAAGAAGGATAGTCCCGACTTAGAAGGAAGAAGAACGATCATGAGCCCTTTAAGGCAAATTTGCAACTGAATTAAAATGACTTATGGTTTCTAGCTACATGCAAGCCACCCAAGGTCTTCTTAGAGTTTTACTTATTAAAAACCTTAGGTTCCTGATTTATAAATCAATGGTGTACTAGATTGAAGCTCAGATTCAACTGATACAAGAATCTTTGGTGTATACAGCTTGATCTACGAAAGCTTGAGCTTCAACTTTCGTGGAACTACCAAGTAAGAGGGGCTGGCTTACGCCACCCACTTTGAAAGCTAGAGCTTCAACTTTCGTGGAAAGTATCCAGTAGAAGTGAGTGGCGTAAGCCAGTCACTTCTAAAGACAGAAACACGTCGGGCTCGTCACCAGTACAGATCCCCAAGAAGAAACAAGGGCTCTCTATCACACAGAATGTTTTTAACTTCATATAAGGAATCACGATGCATTTGAAATTACCATACTGTAATCTTCTTTATAAATTTCCACATGCAAACAGGACGTGAGAAAACGTATCTCAGGCTTTCTCGAGATAACCATTGGTCACACATGTATAAGTGGTTGCGCAAGTATGTGAGGACTTGTGAGATTTGCAAGATAATGGAACCATCGGGAGGCCCCACTTTGGTCGTTAGCGACAGCTGGAAGTCTGTGATTATGGGCTTCATATCCGGACATCCGCGCGACACGCATCGACGCACTGGCATCCTTGTGTTAAATGGTTTATCGTGTGCCTGTTTCAGACGCGATCTCTGCCGAGAAGACAGGTAAGGTCTTTGTAGATGTTGTTTTTTGTCTGCACGGCCTGCCTGTCGAGATCGTGTGTGAGAACCCGTTTTACTTCGAAAATTTGGAGTGCACTGTTTGGCCTATTGTGCACCGAATTGTCCATGTTAACAGTGGCACCCCTTAAAACGAATGGTCAGACAGAGCGTGTGAATCGGGCTGTGGAGGACATACAGTGTAGTTACGCTGCATCGTTGAAAGAGCAGAGTGAATTTCCCCCCTCTTGTAGAGTTTGCGTTGAATAACTACACGTTTTTCTCGACAGATCTTTCGCCAATTTATTTGAACTTTGGTATTCGTTCTAGAGTACCTGCTTCCATCATGGGCGAAGTCTCTACCTTAAGTGGGGGAGGAACTATAATTATAGAGCCACAGTCAGACCGAAATGCTGTCACAGAATTAATAGGAAATTTTCGACCCAATGATGCCTCTAGACGACATGACAAGTCGTGAAAAACAGCACGTCGATGCCTTCATTAAGAGGACACAAACCGTTTTTCGGCTTGTTCGAGACGCTATTGTATTAGCTCAGGATCTGAAAAAGAACAAGCAGATAAGAGGGGAAGGAAGAACAAGAAGGTGTAAAAGGTCAATGATCTTCTACTACTTAGCACGACAAATCTGCCTGGACAGGCAGTGTCCAACTTGGGGAGCAGGAATCTTTAATAAGATTTATTGGACCAATTAAGGTGTTAAAATGCAATGGTGATACGTATAAATTAGCCATTTCTACACGCGTACGCCTGTATCCGACACTTTATTAGATTAAAGTCGATCTTCCAAGTGGATCTGCTGATCCTACTCCAACTTAGGTAGAAAATCGAGCTAGTGATGTAGTTTTTCCATTTGTTTACGAAGAGCTACCAACTCTTCATCCTACAACAACCAGAGCTCGGTTGTGCTCGATCGTGACTGGGATTTATGCTAGCACCGACTTCCCGAAGTAGACGATTCATTTTGTTCTCGTTCTCAAGGCGAACAAATGTCGACCAAGAATCAAGCTTAGCTGCGATGGGCTGGGTCGGATCATCACAATTGTTGATCGACGCCAACAAAAGAAGCGTTCCATATAAATTTCTTGTCTCCATTTCGGTCGGAAATGGGGGAAATGTCAAAGAGCTCTGGGAGCATTCTTCGCCGTTTAGTCGAAGAATAAAAGTACATTTGTGCACCTTCTGTATGTATTGTGGGAGTCCATAAGAGAAGTTTACGATATGGTAATTCTTAATGCGTACGTGATTATTTATATTAAGTCACAAACATTCTGTGTGGTATAGAATGCTAGGTTCTACTAGAGGATTTGTAAAACCGGTGACGAAGCCGACGTGTCTCTCTGTCTTTAGGAGTGGGTGGCGCAAGCCAGACCCTTCTCCTGAATACTTTTCACGAAGGTTGAAGTTCAAGCTTTTGAAGTTCAAGCACCGTAAACCCAAGATCTTTGATCAGTTGAATCTGGGGTGCAAAACATTAGACCATTAGTTTATAAATCAGGAGTTGAAAGGTTTTATAATTGAAACCTCCAGGAGCCCTTGTGGTGTTTTTCATGTAGCTAGGATCAATTATCATTTTTAGTTCAGTTGCAAATTTACCTTATAGAGCTAAAGTCTTTCTTCTTCCCCTTAAGTGTCTTTCTCTCTGCAGGTCGGGACTGCCCTTCTCTACGTCGGGAATCACTACCTCGTCGCACAAGCGTGTGTGTTGAGAGACTGTTTGGAACAGCGTTCTCTTACATAGGGTAACGATCCGAGTTGAAGCCGTGGTTTTCTAAGAAGTTAACCTAGGTAAGCCTTCTAGATAGAGACCACCCTCACCATACCATTGGTTTGCGAAGACTAGTCATATCCTTCCACGGAACTCAACCTAAAGTTAGTAGCGTGAACCCAGTGTTTTTTTGTTGCACCGTATCAAAGGCCCCATTTATATCAGGTTATACTTATAAGCACCACAGAATCTGTCGCCACTCCCCGGTCCACGCAGAGCATAGGGGTCGAAGTCCTCGGGGGAAGTTCGTCATTTGCTGCTTGGGAATATTTCACCTTGCGTCGGTGACGTCAGTGCAACT